CATCGACAGAGTCGAAAAGTTACTTGCCAACGTTCACACGTGTGTGTTGCTCTGGTCTTTTTTTTAATATGAACAAAAAAGCGATTGTGCATGTGTGTGTGTGTGTGTGTGTGTGTAATCTATGCAAACAGAAATTACATTCTACAATCGAAAAGGACGTGAATACTCACGTACACACGCACGCGTGTACGTAACGGAGGTAGTAGTCTATTTGTAGCTCGCGAAATTTATAAAGAGGCAAGTTTACGATCACAGAAAAGAGCTATGCGCACACACGTCGTCGTATTTTCGTGGACGTGTATCGACGAAACGAAACGGCGCCCGGCGCGCTCCGCCGGACGAGAACTTTCTATTACGTTAAAGCGGCCAATTTCGTTCTCTCTTTCTCTCTCTCTTTCTCTTTCTGGTTTTCTCTCTCGGCTTCCGCATGATTAGTCGCTAATTACAAAAAATTCGGTGTACGCTCACGTTCACTGTGCAACGTAACGACGCCTCCAACGCGCTCACATTCACAACAAGAAAAAACGCACGCCAAGGGGGAATAAATAAATCTCGAAAGACGAATTTTTGACGTTCACGCCAACGGAACATCGCGATTACGCTACGCTACATACATAATATGATGGCACGTGTTCGCTCGGCGAAAATTACCTGCGCCTCACCGCATCTATTTACATATCATCGGAAAATATATAATAGGAAAAACTGATAAATGCACAGGAGTGACGCGCGCGCGAATCCTCGCGATGAATATGCGTGACACGCGACAACAACGATTACGACAATGATCGAGGATACAATGGCGCGCGGTAAACTAATTTACAAATACCTTTGGCGTGATGCGACAAGAGAGAAGGGCGAGGGTGATAACTTCTCAGTCGTATGGCCTGCCTTCAAAGATACAGTCGGCGGCCGCGACGACCTCCACTTGGTATACGAAAAAGAAATTCAATTCCTGCAGCTGAATGGTGACGACCAGACGAAAACTCGGTTGCGAGGAATGAAAATTCGGTTAACGAAACGTACTCGGCTACAAGAAATGATGTCTTTGTTACCACTCGATTGAAAATATTCGTGATAACAAATATACGAGTTTTGTATATAGATTCAATGTGTATAGTTTAATAAGTTATTTTATAATTGTTGAAACTATATTTGAGTGGTTACGATAACTACAGGTAATTGGGAACTACAGTTTATACTATGCTGTATGCATTCAGATTTATGCTGTATGCATTCAGATTTTTGCAATGACTATAAAATTGTTTCTTAAACTATATGCATTAATTCTACGTACAAAACTCGTACAATTATCACCTTTATAGTTGCCACGGCTGTGTATTTTTTTTCGAGTGTGTGAGAGAGCAATTAAGACTGAGCTAAAATCTTCGTAAAACTTTAAAAGACACCCAACTTCGATTTTGATAAAATTTTATATGTACGCAGTACTAATTAAATTTAGTCGAAGCCATAAATACGAAATTGCGGAAATACCTGGTTACCGAGGTTAAATTTTAATTATTTAGCTCAATTAACACGTTTTTCAAGAGATTTTGATATGGAAAATAATTAAAATTCAAAAATATTTTGCTGAAATGTTTCAGTGTAACAGAAAACTGTATTTAAAGTGTTGACCAAATATTATTATAGAAAAAAAAGACTAATCAAAGAAGCTCATTTTACATTTAAGTGTTAATATTAAAATAGATTTCTGGTTATTGACGCTTAAATCTTTCGTCTTACTAAATTGATCAGTCTAGCATATATACTAAAATAGATTCTGAGAATATTAGTAAAGGCTCCTACGCAAAGTTTAAGATCTGAATTTTTAAATTATTCCGTCTTTATGAGTTTCCCCTTCTCAAAGACGTTGCAGTTGTTAACTTATTCCGAGGGACGGATTCGCGAGCTCTTACAATATTTCTTACTGCAAAAAAGTCGCGTGGAATGGGGGAGGCTTCGCTTCCCGGATTAATATGTTAAAGCGATTTATCTTTGACCTTGATTTTGACAACATACTCATAGTCAAGGCTATGAATTTTGAAGGATAGTCCAGGATTAGCTAAGATTAAATTAAATTCATTTTTACCCGCTTTTATTATTTAGATGCTAATTATATCGAAAGATCGTAAAAAAAAAGCTTCTTTGATTTGTTTTTTTTTTTTATAACAATATTTCGATAACACTGTACATACAGTTTCTTAATACAATGAAATCTTTCAACAAAATATTCTTGAATTACAATTACTTTTACCAAAATATTTCAAGATTTTCATTAAAATCTTGAAAAACGCTAATTACGTCGAATAATTCCAATTTGAATATCTCCCGGGAAGAAATTTTCCACATATAATTAGATATAAATTATATATACAAATTATATATAAGACGTTATACATAGAAGTGTGTGTCTATATATTTATATGTGTGTATAAATACATTCATATATACATACATACATACATACATACATACATACATACATATATATATATATATATATACACACACATACACACACACACATATATACATATTCTATATATAATTAAATGAGAGGTTTTTCCTCAGGTTGAAAATGAAGTATTTCCGCGACTTCGCACTAGTTTTTATAACATTTAGTAAGTACTACGTTACCATAAAATTTCATCAAAATCGGATAGCCTTCTAAAGTTAAACCGAAGCTTTCTACATGGAAATCTTCTGGTTGCCGCAAGCGAGTTATCCGTCTGGTCCCCAGGCAACGGAAAATCTAATTACACCAACGCAATTGTTTTCTTCCATGTATGGACGTTAGACCTTCCACGCTCGACCCTCGCCTCACCTGTTTATTTTTTCCAAGTGATCGGCCAATCGAGCGTACTGCTCGACCGTGGACAAGGTGAGCCTGCGACGTGACTTAAGCGTGGAAGATCTAGTACGCGCCAAGCGGAAGGTCCCCGTCGCCGACTCAGCTTACTCGACGAAGGAGTTAACGGCTAGAAGAAGAAGCATGCGTAGAGTCCGTGCGGGTTTGTTTCTCTCTTCTGTACACGCGAAACGAGAGGACACCAGCTGTGCTGATTGTTCGAATTTATACATGTGTATATACGCGTGAATATTCTTGTTGTTGCTGTTGTTATTGGTATCCTGAGATTCGAAATAATAATATACTTACAATCGTTGCCACGCCAATGCGTCCGTTCAACGGCTCTTTCACAAAAGCGAGGCACGCTGGATCTCAAACTGCGTTCCGAACTGTGCATTCGAAAGAAAGACAAAACAAAGCTTTCGGAAAGTATTTTGACAATCAGCGTGCAGTCGACCGACGGCGACTCGCGCGAGCTCTCCCGCGCGCACGGAGCTCGGCCCGGCGAGAGAGAGAGCGCGCCCCCGCGACTCCGCGATCTCACTCGCGAGCGGCGTGTGTGTCTGCCTAATTTGTACATACATATTACTCGCTATCGCAATATCACCCTACACGCTATATATATCGTAAATAATTAAAACTATGCTCACTCTCGGAATAATCTCCGTCTCGTACGACTCTCGAAGGTCTCACCGAAGGTGGCTCTGCCGGTGGCTCACCTCTCGAAAGTTTTGGCGAAAGAAGCGTCGATGATTTTTGCCGATGGATAAACGCGTGGAATCGCGGAGTTTCGCCGCGATTTATCTTACGTAAACGCTTCTCGGGTCGCTCGCTCGCTCGTTAGTTGGGTTGGTCAGTGATCAGCGGGGAAAAAGTTGACGGAGTGACCGACTGCGTTTGGGGGGGGGGGGGGTTGGTGTTGGTGGGAATTTCATCAANGGGGAGTTGGTGTTGGTGGGAATTTCATCAAACTTATAATTACGTAATACACCACAGCCGGCTCGAGCGACTCGCGCATATAGTATAGCACGTCGCGTCGCGCGGAGCGATACTGCTACGAAATGAACGAGTGCCCGTTGGCAATTCCCGCGAGCTGTCGCAATTCCCTCGTGACATCGCGATCACCAATTGCAATTGGAATCGGGCGCGCCCGCTCGCTCGCCCGTGACGTCTCTGGCTGGTTCTCACGATAAATTTTCGGCGTATTTACACGTTGTTGATCGCAGTAAATTCCTTATCGGTGGTCTCCTCCTTGGACCCGTCCCGGTAACGTCGGTATAAGCCGAACAGAGGCATTACCAGCAGCATTATGCCGCTCAACGCGATGAAGAACCCGGCCAAGTAGAAGGACAGGTCGTATGTGCCCGTGATGTCGTACAGCCACCCTGCGGAGAACCGGAATACATGTCTCGATACTTCCGTCTCGAGATATCGCGCCAATTCGGCGATATAGAATAGTTGGCTAACGAATAAACAGGGTGTATAACTAGTAACTAGCCAAAACAGTAACCGGCCAACCGTGACTAGCCAGAAAACATTTAACGCGTAGATACCCAGCAAGTCGCGAACGAAGATTACTCGTGTGCGCCAACAAAACTTTGCCCTAGTCATCAAAACTATCGAATGATTGACAAAATTTGTGTATGACTCATTGTGGAAAGATCAGAATGTATGAGGATATTGTGCGAATACAGCGAATGACTTGCGAGCAGATTCCGAGTCCAAATTTTGGCCCTATGTTAAACCTTTAATTCTACAACATAGCAGGAGCTAAGATAGTAAAATAGGTTCAATTTCAATTCTAATAATATAATACAACCCTTACTTTAACTCTGATGATATTTGAAAATAGAATGATAAAGGTAGCATTAAAATTCAATTTGTAGAATTAAAGGTTCAAAAGAGAATTGAAAAAGTATCGATATCGTCAAAGTGCGTTTTTATTAGTCTACAGCAGACCGTCTAAGTAGACGCAAACTATCCTTAAGAGTGTCAGAGTAGTATCAAAATTTCGATTCGGGATATCTGGTTTAAAAACTGCGTATATATATCATCGAATCGTGAACTAATACCAGCAGTGTGCTAATCATTTGCACGAGATTTGCCGATGCATTGAATAATCCCGGCTAACAAGATAAGATGTTATTAAGACATCACCTTATTAGCTGGGATACGTGGCTTATCAAGTTGCATGGGATATACATGACTGAATATGTTTCACGAACATAACAGTTTCAGACAAGTTTCATACAAGGCTCGTAGACGTAACAGGCGTAAGCTTCGCGCGCAAGAATTGTTATCTGGGTAATTGCCATTCTTTTATTGAGTATCCTCGAGCATCTTCGAAGAAAATAAGATAACATTCAGATCTTGGAAGTACTCGATCTAGAAAAGCCTAGTCTCATGACAATAATGCTTTCTTTCTCAGTGAAATATTTTTAAAGATCTGAAGGTCATTTCGTTTTCTCGCTTCGACGTTTAAGGTGGTAATAGTTATAGCCTCATCCTGTATGTGGATCAGTAACAAAAAGGTTGCAACATATCCAATAGGAGAATAGGTTTTTTACTAAGAGACACATTTTTCCATTGGACGAGATACGTTGCGAAACTCATCGAAAAAAAAAAGCGTGTTTGCAACCTTTCTGTGACTTACCTACCATATGGTTGCATTTGCTGCACCAGCGGTGTATCTTATTCGAAAATTGTCAGAAGCTATTGGTTCTGAATACGAAAGGTTAGGATTTGCGGGTAAAATGGAGGGCACCGCTTCCCGAAATAAAATGTCGCGCGAGATCGAACGTTTACCAGCTAGCGGAGGACCCATCAGATTGGCGACTCCTTGTACCAGTAAGAGAAGGCCGTAAGCGCTCGTGAACCTTTCCAAGGTGATCAGCTCGACAAGGATGATGCTAGTGAGGCTGTAATTTGCTGCGATGAATAATCCAAAGGCACCAGAGATTGCACATAGAGTATAGTAGTCGCTGACAACTACGGGTATCAGAGCGGTAGCGGCACCGCAGAGCACCATGCACACCCCATAGACGATGGACGCGTCCACCCACGCTCTGTCGCCGGCCCAGCCTAGAAAAATCTGCAACGAGTAAGAGAGAGAGAGAGAGAGAGAGTTTAGTTTAGTCTAGTCACCATTGCGATAGTTTCAGTGCTATTTCAAGTTGCTAACAATGTTCAGTTGATACGTTCGCTATCACGTTAGAGGATTTTTCAAAATTCTCGCTATAGATATTTATGTATTTTGAAATCATTTTTATATCTTACAAATACGCGTCTTTTAAAAAAGCGACCTGCAAAAGTCGTTCGCTGCTTATCAGCCTCGACAAGTTAATTTAACAGCGATAGAGTAAAATATGTCTTCCTGATAAACACAAATTAACATCACATCAATGTTGTAATTTCTTACTCAACAATGTAAGTACAATATATATGTAAGTATAACATATATTGTACGTAACAGTTATATTATTGAGTGGAGAGTTATAACCCAACAATAACATTGCTATAATGTTATTGTTGGGTTTTAATTAGACACACGGAGAAGATGCGTCAAGAAAGCCAACTGATGTGTCGCACACACACACACACACATGACACTAATCTGTCGCGAGAATCATGCGTGAGATTCGCATTGAGAAAAAAATATTCGGTATTTGTAACTAAAGTCATCATAGTGAAAGAGTTATCATCAGAAGAAATCACTTTTCCAATAAGCGTTACCGTAATGTCAATGATAATAACCTTGAATGCATATCACTACTATTATTATTGCGATTAAAACCATGAAAAGCATACAGTTGAGATAAAAAATAACTATAAAGTTTGCTTTCTATTTCCAAACTGACCGTATCAGTTCAGAAAATCTGCATTCCGACCGTTCACTGCCAGTACTGAAAATCTCAAGTTTACACAACATGATTTGAACTTAAGATTTTTAGTACCGCTAATGAATATCACACAGTCTTCGTGAACTAGCGCAGCCAATTAAGGAATGGAAAGCAAACCTATAATTTCCCCCAGTACGACGCACTAAATCTGTTCTTTCCCGCCAAAGTGGCTGTACCAACTTGTACCAGATCTCTTCTCCTCTTTCTTCCACCAAGTCTTAACTGCACATCCGTCTCTCTTCTACGGATTCAGAGAAAAAAAGAAGAAACCTACCGATAGCGAACGTGAGAATGGGAAGAAAGCCCGGGCTCACCTCGCCGCACATGTTGGTGATCCCGATCACCGAGATCAATATAGACGCGTCCGTCTCGCTGAATCCAACCTCGATCGCGTTGTCCGTCAGATAGACATAAGGCACGTCGTACCACGTGTGCAGGAGAAAGTTGCTGATGGCGAACAGGAGGTATCTCGAGTTGGCGAAATACGAAAAGTCCAGCATGTCGACGATCAGGTCCCAGAACTCCCAGAGCCCGTTGTGCCAGGCCAGCTTCGTCTTGGCGATCGTGGTCATCGAGTCCCGGTAGATATCGGGACAGCTCGAGGCCCGCAGACGGTACCGATTGATGTTCAACATGGCGCCCCTGTAAGTCAAGCTGTGCCTGTGCGATCGGATGTCCTTCAGGTAGGCGGTGGGCAGCCTCCTCGGCTGCTCGAGCGTGCTGGAACGTCTCAGCGAGGCGTCGGGGTCGACCTTCCTCAGCCAACACAAATACGCCGGCTGTTCCGCCGACCGGTGCTGTTGCTCGTCGCCGCGGACGTCGCCGGCGTCCTCGGCCTTCAGCTCGGCCAAGGGGCTCGGTGTGGGTATGAATCGAGCCGACGGGGTGCTCAGTTGGTCGTGCAGGGTGCCGGAGTCGCTGAAGCTCCTCGACGATATCAGCAGACTCGGGTAGTTCTGCAGCAGGACGTTGTAGATGTTCTTCCGCGTGCTGAGCAGCTCCAGCACCTCCAGCGGCACCTTCTCGCCGTTCTTCACGAAGGTCGGCAGGCTCACCAGGCTGGAGAAGAGCTTCTCGCCGGCGTTCTCGTCGCCGCCTTCCTGCGAACGGAGGTTCTCGATGATCATCGCGTTCGTCGAGGCGAAGCCCCTCTTCGGGCCGCCGTGCGGCGTCTGCGTGGTCGTATTCGCGGAGCTGCACGCGGAGAAAGAGTCCGCGCTCGAGCTCTGCATCTTGGATCTCTTCCTCTCGCGATTCTTCCTCCGCTTCTCGGTGTCCGCCTTCGCCTTCGTGGTGGTCCACTCGAGGTCCCGCATCAGGCAGCCGCAGACGGCGAGATTCAAGAAGAGGCCGGCCAGGATCAGCGTGGTGCCTCTCCAGCCGTACTCCGCCAGGAGGTACTGCGTGACGGGCGCGAAGATGAAGGTGCCGATGCCGCTGCCGCAGACCGAGAGGCCGGTGGCGAAGGACCTCTTCTTGTCGAAGTAGTACGCGACGATCACCACAGCGGCGACGAAGCAGAGGGCCAGGCCGAAGCCAGCGACGATGCCGAACGTCAGCACCAGCACCGCCATGGAGTTCGCGTAGGAGCTGACGACGAAGCCCGCGGTCGCCATCACGCTGCCGACTATCGAGACTTTCCTGCAGCCGTAGCGGCCGGCCAGGAAACTGGCGACCGGTCCCGACAGCAACGGCATCGCCATGAAGAGACTGCCGATCCACGCGGTCTTCGACTTCCCGGCGCCGAAGTAATTGAGGAACTCGACGAATATCACGCCGAAGGAGAAGGTGATGCCGTCGCCGATGAGGTTGACCATGAAGGCGGCCGCTACGACGACCCAGCCCCAGCCGCCGTCGGGCGGCCTAGGCTCGCAGAGCCCCAAGCTGGAATTGTCCTCGGAGCTGCTGGTGGTCGACGTGGAGATCGACGGGCTCGGGTGCGGCCGATCGTCCCTCGCGTTCCGCAGTTGCTGCTTCTTCGACTGCTCCTTGTTGAACTGCACGTGATGCTGCTGCTTGTCCTCCCTGGGCGACTTGCCGTTCACCAGCTTCTCCGTGCTCTTCTCCGTCGACGAGTGGCTCTTGGACGACAGGATCCTGGTGGGCGAGCCGAAAATCGCGTTCCTCTTCAGCTTCTGCGGACTGGGCGCGTCCTCCTTGTACAGGCTGTTGGGCCTCCTCGGGGAATTCTGCGAGGCTTCCTTCAGCTCCTTCAGCGCCTCCCGGCGTATCCTCGCGCCCGATTCCCCCGTCTTGACTTCTGCGAATCCATCGCCCTCCATGAGTCGGCTCTCTTTTTCTTCCTCTTCTTCCTTTCGCAAGTTCTTTAGCGACTCGGAGCTGTTGTTGCGAAACGTAGCAGGCTCCTCGTGCTCTCGATCGCCTCGGTCGTTCGACGCGTCCTTGTCCTGACCTTCATCTTCGCTCGCTTCCACCTCGGTTCCGTACGACTGGCCCGCGATCTTGCCGTTGATCGTTCGTTCGTCGGTCAATTGAGTCAGCTTGTCCTCACTGTTGAACTTGGTCCACTCGGCCATGCTGATGGGACGAAGGGAAGTGCCGGCGACTCGCACTTTCGGCTCGCGACGGCGATCCAACTGATTTCTCCTCGGCGCCGCTTCCGTACGATACGCACGCACATGCACACATACAAACGACACAAGCACACTAAACGAAAACTCGGGAAAACTCGCCCCTCTCCGCTTCTCACGCAACGGAATGCAATGCGATTCAACAGAGATCTAGTTTCGTCCTTGACTTAAACAACGGTAAACAAGGCCACTCGTAGAGCTGCCTGGTGAACTGACGGCGCAACGGTAACAGGGATCCTGACGACCAAGTCGACGTGAAGCTGTCTGTTGGCGATTGATAGTCGGCACCCGGTCGACCGTGCAATGGTCCACCACCATTGCAATCGTGGCCCCGGATTCTCCAAGTCCAACTGGTACTTTGATTACTTGGGACCGCCTCCTCCTCCGCGAAACGATCGTCAACCCAGGCACCCATGCGGCGAAACGTACGGCTTCGGTTCTTGCGTTGTATTCTGCGACGAGAAACCAACTGTCAGCGATACCCATACATTATCAGCGCCGCGTAGCTACGTCGGTGTTAACTAAAACGACGTTTACACAGCTTTGCGAGCTTGCGATTTCACGAGAAAACATTTGTCCCCGTGTAATCACCGTGTAACGTGATCGTGTTTTCCCGATCGATTAATTTCTCGAAGCGAGGCATGGAAATTCGCTCGATCGTGAAGATACTGCTATTCGGAATCGCAAGAGTGAATGTTGATGACCTATAGGCGCGTAATATTCCTACAATATTATATGAATATTATTCAATATTGACACTATGCCGTCCGCACGTGTAATCGGGATTCTTCCGCTGGCGCCGGTAGGACTGATCATTTCGCTTGTCGTCGGCGGTTTTTCGAAGTTTTCGGGAGATCACAAATCGTCAGTTCTCATTAGTTTTCAATCCTGTCCCGCTATTTTCATGAAATCTCGAGGATATATGTAAATAAATGTAACATTTTTTTTGTATTATATATTTATTTATTTATTAATATTTTATTGGATATTTAGCATTTCTCTTTTAGATGATATCAAGCAAAACAATCCCCGAGGTGTAACGCGACTCCACAAGACTCACACATTAAATTTGTTGTCCTTCTTTTTTGGTTTTTGGAACATACATGGCACTTTCTTCGTTTTCGTTTGTCGGTTTCGGAAATTTGTATTAGCTGGTGTTGCTTCAGCTGACCGGAAAGTCTGTCGATCGAATCATGATGTCTGTAGCTTATTGTTATTTAAACAGAACACCAATAGTACACAATCAGAACATAAACGGCACCACAGTGCTGTCGCTGGCTTTTGCGCGATAGTTTTACGCACAACACCGTGTCGCCGGCTTTTGCGCGATAGTTTTGCGCACGACACTGTGTCGCCGGCCTTTGCGCAATAGTTTTCGCGGCTCATCAACGTGGTGTCCCTGGACGGCATAGTGTTAAGATAATATCCTTATAATATTCTAAGGATGTTATGTAATATATTTTAATATTATAAGAATGTCCTATTGATGTTATATGTCCACCTCATATAGTATTCTTGGCATATTATAAAAATGTTCTTGGAATATTAAAAAAAATAATAATAATAAAATAGAAAAATATATATAAATAAAATATATGTATTATATATATATATATATATATATATATATATATATGTGTGTGTGTGTGTGTGTGTGTGTAATTTTTAATATAAAACGTCTTTTTGCACAAAATTCTTTCGACCTTATTTATTTATATAATAAAACAATTGGTATTGCAATATATTTGAAATAGAAAATTACAATTATACATATTATACATATACATAGAATTGAATATTTAACCCTTATCGGTTGTAAGTCACCTCTCACGTGACAACAATACTTGGTCGCTGCGGTCGTACGTCACGTAGGAGGTGACAAGTTCGCATATTTACCGAAACCAGCTACAACCTAGTGAGAATCACGCATAAAAAGCTAGCATCCGATAAGGGTTAAGAAATATATAATATTGCAATAATATATCAAATAATATTACTAGGATATTATTAGAATATTACGTCTAATATTTTAAGAATATGTCCAGAATATTACTTAATATTAAATAATATTACACGCTTATAGGGTGTTGTTGTCATTTGAGCTCAGAATGAGTTTTGACGCAGAAAGGAATGTCTCGATTGATCAGAGCGATTTTGCTCCTGTGAACCGCTGCAATGCATTAAATTCATTCCCCAATTCATTTCGAGCGAAAATATTCGCTGGACGAATCGAAATATAGAGATCACTCCATATGAGTGAAAAATCACAGAAATTCGAGTGACTCTACTCTTCAAATAAAATATCACCCCCAAAAAATTCCGAGAAAACGCTCCCTAAATTTCTTGGGATGAAATTTCACTAAACACGAGTGAAAATTTGATCACGACTGTCATTGAGTATTGTAAGAATAAAAGTTTCACTCGAACTAACAGTGGATTCCGATTCTGTACGAGTGAATGTCTCGATCAATTAGATTGAATCGGTTTGTACATGACGGTGAAATACGTTATATTTACTCTTTAGTTTCGAACGAAAATATTTACTCGTTGTATCAGAGTGGAAAATCTATTTCGTGTGAACAAAAAATCACACGAACTCAAGTGACTCTATTTTTCAGATAAAATATCACCCCAAAAAAGTTTCGAGAGAACGCTCTCTAAATTTCTTGGAGTGAAAATTCACTAGATACGAATGAAAATTCTATCGTAAAAATACCGCCGTTGAAAATCGTAAGAATGAAAGTTTCACTCAAATTTAGAGAGGATTCTGATTCCGCACGAGTGAATGTCTCGATTGGTCAAAATGAATCTGTTTCTGCATTACAGCGGAATATATCGAATTTACTCTTCAATTTTTTTATATTTTTATATATTTATTTACGGGAGAAATCCCTTGATACAACGCTCTTAAGACACGAAAAAATAATAATGATATACGAAAAATAATAATAATATAAAAAAAGTACACGCATAGAAAACAGAAAAATTGTAAATGAAAATATTCATTCGATGAATTAAAGCGGAGAACTCACCGCTTATGAGTGGAAAATCATTCGAATTCGTGTGACTCGACTATCATTCGACTTATCAGGGGAAATTTGGAGAATAATAGAAGATCAGGATATCATAGAAACCGGATGTCGCGTGAAGAAATAAACAGTGTCGAAGATGTCGCATGCTACATTATCGCTTTTCATGTGACAATGTTCGACGGGGAAGAGTTGTTGTTTCAATAGCGTCTCCGATTGAATCTCTCGTCGTGAATTCGACTTATCGTGCGTTCGGTTGAGAGAGACGCGATCAAAGTGACGCACGGCGGTTGCGGAAAAATGCCTCGTACGTTCTATATTTACTCGCTAAAACGACATTCTCGAGCATTATTAGACGCTCCGAGTTCGATGTTTGGCAAAGACACTCGAGCGGCGTGACTCGCTTCTGGCATTTCGTAACCGGCTGTTGCTCGAGTTAGAGTCAGCGATTATAAATGAAGCTCATTGTGTATGAGTTGCTATCAATTTAAGGATTCAACAGTGGCCACGATGATCGCGCGTGTATCGCGCGATCCGCTATCTTTTCTTCCTCTTCCATGCATCCCTCCCCCCCTGTGCATCTCCCGTCGCACCGTCGAGAGTTGCGAGAGCTCGTTCCTCAAAGTCGAATTACTGGCGGAACGAAAATTTCAAGTGCGCACCGCCCGACAAAGGGTCAGTGTCGATTCTCGCAACGTGATGCCACACGACGCAACGCAACGTAACACAATGCGATGCAACGCGACGCGTGATTCGACGTGCAATGCGCGATCGTCGCCGAGCGTCGCATCGAAGAGACTCGAAAACTCGCTCCTCAACATTTGAAACTCCAAGTTTGAGGCTTCAACTCCCCGAGTTTAGGACTTAAGCTGAAGGCTCAAAGTCGCCGATATGTTCCACGTAATTATGAAATTGCGAATCAGAGCGAAAGTGAAAATTCACCGTCGATCCTGCCTTGAATTGTCCGATTTCTCGAGTGAACGCGCCAAAAGAGCGCATTTCGAAATTCTTCTTCGTTTCAGATATTCCGATCTCAGCTCCATCTTGCGATACAATCTTGGCGGATTTATGCACAGACCAATTCGACGCTAACAAGCCGGTTAATTGCGTTGCATTACGACTTTCATGTCGCAATTGCGGGCTCGTCGCTCTTCCGATTTATCTTGCGCGTTCTGTGTGTGTTTGTTAAAATTAATTCGTAAATTTAACGTTGACCTATATCTTGTCCAAGTTACTTAACGGGAAGGAAGACGGTCATTTAACTTTTTACGTGAATCTTCGCTAAGCGAACGCGAACGTGCTGCGTGTAAATAGCGTGGAACATAGATGCGACAAGTGCGCGAAGGAGCGAACGTGACTGTGCCGAAGATCGAGTTATATTTTAATATTGTAATAGCGTGGTATATATATATATATATATATATATAGAGAGAGAGAGAGAGAGAGAGAGAGAGAGAGAGAGAAAGCATCAAAACCAATATACTATTTTGTTTCTGGCCTCTCCTTGTTGAAGGTAAAATTAAAACTAAAATTAAAATTTACGTGCATGGATGCAAACCAGCAACACTTCTCTAGCAAAATATATGAGAGTCTCGTGAGAATTATTACGCGTTTTCTTGCAAATAACTATTTTTTTTAATGTTTGAAAATTAATGCTTCTAGAAATTAGACTCCACGACTGACACACTCGTGATATATTTTGTAGGAAATTATCAAGAAAATAAAATTAAAAAGCACTGAAATTATCTTGTAAAGTTATTATATATCCTTACATGTTATCTTTGATCTTGTATATTTTTTTCAAATTTAAAAAGTTTTACGATGTGTTTCCTTTATTATGTGGAAACAGATCCTCTGACTTCTTTCCGACCCTCTTAAATAAACAAACACAAGAAAAATAGAAAATCAATCATCGGTAGCTTCAACTGTATTCTGTGAAATGATATTTCACTGTAAAGTTCAAATATGTCGGTTGAAAGACCAATCTAAACTCAGGTATCTCGGTTCATGGGACAACCAAACTCTAACTTTTCTCGCGCGGTTCAATAACAGAAGATAGAGATTGGCACAAGATTCAAAGTGATGTAAAATGTCGAAAACTTATAAAATTTCATTGTCACATCAATTATTTACCGCTGACCTGTTGCTTTAATTTTCACAAGAAAAGAAACTCAATAAAACTTTAGCACAACGAAAAATCGAATGACGCTAATGACATAACTGAACGTGGTTGCAAACAGAAACTGTCACTTCAACTCCAACTACTGTACACAGTAAAGAATAAAGTACTGTCTGGATTTAATATTTTACAACCGAAAAACATAAATATATGTGGATTCACCATACCTATATCCGTTTTGCTTTTCCCTCTATTTTCTAAATTTTGTGGAATGAAGCCTCACTTAAAACAAGTGAGAAGTGGCAATATTTTCGCTCGAAACGGTAATGAAAGTGTCACTCAAAATCACAAGAGTGACTGTTTTATTCAAGCTTAAAGAAGATCCTAATTTCACACAAGCGAATGTTTCAATCGATTCGAGTGAATATGTTTCTGCGAGAACGGTAGAGTATATCAGATTCACTCTTCAATTTCGAGCGAAAATATTCACTAGACGGATTCATAGCGAAGAATTCACTCCGTATGGAGTGGAAAATTCACTCGAGCTCGAGTGGCTCGGTAGTATTTTCTGAATGAGATTTCACCCCAAGAAATTTTGGGAATACATCGAAATGTATGTATTCCCGATAAAATATATCAAGTAATATATAATTTTCGAGATAAAATTGACGAAACATGAGGATATTTATGACGACAATTAAGCTGAATTCGAATAGCTCTTATCGGTGATAACTGACTTAGCAAATGAGCTGAATGTCCATTTACGCGAAGTACGCGAATGGAAAAGCGTAGTTTCAAATTGGATGATAAGGCGGCTGTGTGATGATAAATTCAACGGAATTAACATCCGTTTCGATATCGCACGCGCGACGTGACGTGACTTGACTCGTGACCATAATATGACGAGAACGTGGTGTATAGTCAGTTACAAAAAGAGGTCGCAACATTTCTTTGATAAATTTCACGCATAAATAAGACATCCCGAGTCGAAATTTTGGCCCTGTGTTAAATAATTCTACAATAATTTAATTCTATAATATAGTAGGAGCTAAGATAGTAAAATAGGTTCAATTTCAATTCTAATAATATAACATAACCCCTATTTTGACCTGATGATGTCTTAAATTTCTGTTTTCGCTGTTTTAGCGTTAAAATAGAATGATGAAGGTAGCGTTAAAATTCAACCTGTAGAATTAAAAGTTCAAAAAAGAAGTTAAAGAGCATCAATATCGTCAAAGTAAGTTTTGGACTTTTAGTGATTCTCGAGAGATACATTTTCTTATTGGATACGTGATGCGTTGCAAAATTTCATAAGAAAAAAAGTATTACAAACTTTCCGTGACTGAGCACACGAATTTATTTCGGTGAGTAAAATAAATACGTCGCAATAATCGAATAAATGTGATCAACGTGAAACTTAGCGTCGACCGACCGTTGCGAGCGTACTAACGTCATGACGTCGTAATAACGTCGATAATAATCCCGAGAGCTCCGACACTATCGACAATCGTGAGCTCAAGGCTTAGCACGATTAGCCGCCGGTGCGGCGAAGCGAAACTTGTTCGGCGTGTCTCGAGATTTCCATGATATCGTCTGATCAAACGGCGTGCTCCCTTTGATTCAAGATGTACCTAGAGTCCCTTGAATACAGAGTCTGCACAATTTCAGCAGATATTTCATTGGCTACTTTGAAGCAAAATGGCGGGAGCAATCGATGCTATCATATCTTCACTTCGAGTGCAACTACGCGCGAAAAGAACCAACCAGTCTCATATTTTCTGCAAAGTGATAAAATTGAAAACATCAATCAATCTAAGGATCGATAAAGAGATCGCAACATTATTTTTATACTTCGCAATGCCTGCATATCTTTTCTGTTCTTTTCGTTCAGCTCTAGTTTAAACTATAATGCATATTCTTACCCGTTTATAGCAGTGAAATGTAAGAAATGAACGTTTAATGAGAAAATCTCTAAACAAATTAATACAATGTGCACATTCACTACGATGATTACACGTTACAGTTCACTTCATAGTAACTATAGAATAGAATTCCTAGAAATCAATGAGAACCATCGACATCGCTTTGCTTCGAATTTAAAGATTGTCCGGACTCTGCGTTCAAGGAACTCTGGAAGTAGTATCACGGTCAAGTCACATATCATGGGCCCGTTCGGAATTGATTCCGATCGTAATCCTATAATTACTCCTTGTAAAGTACAAGAGAAAATCCAGAGAATAGCCGAATGATTCCAATCGGGATTTATTCCGAATAGTTCCTTAATGGGTGCCGAGATCTTATATTCAAGATCGCCTCGAGTTCATCTTCAGATACTGTACGGCAAATTTAATTAGCTACGAAGCATCTGGAGATGAACTTAAGAACATCTTAAATTTAAAATCTGATTATGAATACCGGCCTAAGTGTGCCCTCAGAGAGCCCTAGACAGCTCGTCCCGTTGTCTCCGACGCACGCTCGCTCGCGGCTCGGTTGAGAAGTGGCGAGGAAGAATTAGGCGCCTTTGGCCGAGAAAATTTTGCGCAATCCTGGCTACGTGCCCGCGGACGGGTAAACCAGGGCGCATTCTCGGTCTAAATTCAACTGACGTAGCGTTTTTATTTCTCCTTTTCTTTTCCCTCTCCTCTCTCTCCGCACAACTCTGGACGCGCATTAATACTCCCCGAGACGCCCGCTGTGTGCGTGTGTGTGTGTGTGTGTGTGTGTGTGTAATTTAATTAATCTCGCGACGACGAGAGAGAGAGAGAGAGAAAGAGAGAGGCGATACCGCGATTCATAGGATATGTAATTACGCGTCTGTTATCTAATCGCTCGCTATCATCGCACTCGTCATTGTAATCCAGTTGAAGCGACAGACGATCGCAAATTACGAGTAATTTCTCGAGTGCGAGTGTACAGGGAAAAGATCTAGGCCTGTCGCATGCACGTGTCGAGCCGGGATCGGCCAATCGGCCGTGGAATTCTCGGGAAGGCTGGGAATTCACGGGTAAACCATTGATTCTCGGCGGATTTGTCGGTGAGGGAGAGAGGAAGCCACTTAGACGACGACGACGGCGACGACGGCGAGACATTTATCGGCCGATGGCGGGGAAACGACGGCGTTCGCGACCGGGAAGCTGAAGTTTGCTTAATCGTTATCGGCATCCGAGGAAGAACGAGCTCGTGGAACCACGTGGAATGATAATGTGCGCGCTCGCCCTTGACGAAACCTCGGTCTTGGTTCTCGTGTGCCGAATGAGATATCCCCGCGTTCGCGCTTTTATTCGGACGCCGCTGAATCTCTCTCTCCTCTGCGCAGAAAAAAATTTGGTCGAATTCGCATGGCAAAAATAGTTTTCGTGTAAATAACGGCCCACTGAAATTGTTTATTTTAAGGTGAATATGTTAATTTAACATATATTTATATATGTTAATTACATATGTTAATTTAATACGTTATTTTATATTTATGTATTTTTTAATATATTCTCATGTTGTTTGCACAAAACTTTTTACTGTGTTTTATCCGGTAATGGATAAACCAGACGCGTTTTGGTCGAAGAAAACAGAACTTCTGCTTGTGAGAGTTGGATTTGGATCATAACCCTGTTGAAAATTTCCAACTAGGTTTCCTTGGGGGAGTAATCTATCGAAATCCATGTAGGAAATTCCAAATCCATATAAAAAGTTACATGGATTGTTACCAAGTCCTGAATTTTTGGCTAAAATGTCCAGGGTCAACCATGGGATTCCATAATGAATTTCCTCGTACGAATTCCCACCTGGTGTTTTTCAAGAGGGAAAAACCAGAAATTCTCGTTTACTTCAATCTCTCCCTCACGTGTCTCGGGTTCGTTCGTTGTCAGGTGAATTCAACCAACCGACCTTTTTCTTCCATCACAGAACAAAAAGAAATATTCGATAGCGTCAAAATAAAAACGCGAAAGCATGAAAATCGTTACTCTGTTATTAATCGCCACTGTTCCGGCGATATGCGTCTGACGAAGCGATTCGTATTCGAAAGACTATAAGAAGGTACACCCGGGGAAGCCGCAGGAAGATATAAGAATATAAAGATGGGGAGAGAAAAAAATATAAAAAGGGAGAAAAACGCGCGGGAGGAAGCTGCGCGGTGAATTGACCGATTGAACGGCGCGATAGCTTATCGCGGGTTCCTAAATAAATAAATTGTGCTCTCTGCGGCACATTTGAAATATCTAACCACACAGATAATTTCGAAAGACGAGAGACGTTGTAGATGGTGCTAATGGAACGGAAATAGCGCGTGTAATGATCAAGTTAATAACTTCCTCCGCGCTCGCATTTATAAATACAAATTGTACCGTGTACCGCATCGCATTATCTTCGACGGCGCTGTCGCTCAAAGCTCGAAGACAATGAGTCCCGCGTTACATTGACGCCGCGCTTCGTCCTTTTATCACGTATAACCGCAATAGAGCGATAGTTTACATGACACCTTTACTTGCAAAATATATCTCCTCTTGAGATATCACACTTTTGCCGATCCCGAAGAGACGCGGTTGATCGCGTTGATCCACGATGCGAGACGCTCGGCTTCGACGACAAGTTTCTGACTGATTACTTTCGCTTTCAACGGCCGGCGTCACCGAAGCTCTCTCTCTCTCTCTCTCTCTCAGAAATCGCGGAACATGGCCCTCGGCAAAAATGTGGGACAAAGAATAAGACAAAGCTCTGACGCACCATGATGGACGATGGTGTATTGGTTGAAGCTCTCCCTCTCTCTCTCTCACTCTCTCTCCCTTTCACCCTTAGCGAGGAAGTTAGACTAGCAATGCGGCCGGGCAGCGGAATCGAGCCATTCCCGAGCAGTCCAGCCGCGAGACGAGAGAATTGTGCTTGGCGCGGATCGTAGCAAGCGTAGCAAACGTTGATGATAACTTATCACACAGCCCTTCGGATTACAAAATCTACCAGTACCCAATAGCACTAATCCCGCGCACTCGCGTGCCGCTTGCAGCACGAGGTGGAAGCGGCGTTCCTAGCTCCCGCGAGATCTCATCGCACGCGCGGCAACATACGTTCCTCTGTTGTCACAATTGCTCCGGCAATTACGACGAAGTGTTAACGTGCAACCCGCCGGTTAACATACGTCTCCGGTTTTCTTCCTCCGCTCTCGTTGGGGAACGAGATGCCCGACGATCCGAGAGAGAAAGAGAGAGAGCGATATCTTTCTCCACGACGTGGCTCTCTGCGCGCACAAATATCGAAGACGCTCTCTCTCCCCCCCC